TGATTATGGAAGTTTCTTGTTTTCCTCTCTTCTACACCCAATCAACCACCCTTGCTGTGCTTTTTATTACCCTCCCCCTCTTTAAAAAAGATTATTTATGCATTCAAGAACTGAGGTGTAGGCCAGATGAGCTGGAGGGGTGGGTAATGAGAGGATTCACAAGAGACATAGTGGGCAGTACAGGTGTCTTGATTGAGAGCCATGGGCGAGGAAGAAGAGGTCTGCTATGCTTTGTGGGTCAGTGTGTGTCCCCCCCCCCCCACCAGGCCAGAGATCAAATCCATACTGCAGTGGCTGCAGAGAGCTTCATAATGCTGACACTTAACCCCTGTGCCACCAAGGAGGCCCTGTGGTTTTATTTCTGTACTGTCACTTCTCTGTGTCTTTTGCCAGAGCCTGGGCCCACGAAGCCATCATATCGCCTACACATCTACTCTCGCTTCCTCCAGTTTCCTTCCTGTATTGTAGCACCTGTGAGCTTTCTCACATTTGAATGTGCAATGGTTCTGCCTAAAATACTTGGATAGCTCTGCTGTATCTTTCAGAGAGGGGTCCCCACGCTCCTTAGCTCAGCCTAAGGCCCTGCATCTTTGACCCCAGCTCTCCCTTCTCACCCTTACCTGCCTTGGTCTCTCTACCAACCAGACTGAATCCCACATAGTTAACTTCCTCTCAATCCTCAGTGTTTTGCCTATACTCTTCCCTTTCCCTGGAATGCTATTCCTGTCTCTTACTCAAATTTTAGGTCTCAGTTTAGACAATAGTCCACTAGGAAACCTCCCTGGAATGATGGGGCTTGGTTATGGGCTGCCATGAACACTTACTACCCACATCCTACCACTTTTTAATTTTCTTTTTCTCTGCCTCTCTCTTGATCCTGGCTATGTGTATAGAATTACCAGGACAATTTAAAAAATATTGATGTTGGGGCTCTACTCTCCAGAGCTTCTAGGTTAACTAATTAGTGGGTCCTGGTCTTCAGGAGTTTGTGAGTTCTCCAGGTGATGCAAATATGCAACCAGGCATGAGAACAGAGCTCCACTAGAAGCTCCGTGGGGCAGGGGTCCTGGCTGTTATTCTAAACTCATCTCTCCACACTGATAGCCTCAAGTGTGTAAGTGCATTGAATAAATCAATGCAGCAGTTTCTAAAAGGGATGCAGGAACCATGCAGGAAAAAAAATGATACATACCAAACATACATTGGGGAGCAAGTTAAAAACAACCTTTTCAGCCCATACAAGCATCTCATAATTTAAGGTGATGAGGAATGAATCAAAGTTAAAGCTGGGCTAGGTGAAGGAACAACAGTCACTCACTAATGAAGTAGGAAGAAATCTAGCCCTTCTTGTGGTTTGGACAAGGTCTGTGTTTAGTTTGTATCAAGATGTGATTATGGAGTGATATTGTTTTTGCCTTCATCCATCAGTCACAGAGTGATCTAGTGAGATGCTGATAGTCTGTGAAATTGCTTATGTTCAGCAGAACACATGGCCTGGCTGTGGCTGCTGCCAGCTTGCAGCAACACTGAGACCTCTCTGATGGAGCCAGGCCAGCTCCTAGCTCTCAGGATCTAGGTATGAACAGTGAGCCTGCTATACAAATACATAACACTTAGGCTTCTGGTGACAATACTAGGTGACCTAAAGGATGTGGAAAATCTCTATTCCCTTTCCAGGGATGAATGGAACCTGAAGACCAAGAAGTGCAGGAAGCTGGTGTTCAGTTCACTGAGCTGGTTCTGGTCTCCTGCTGCTTATCTGGAGCAGTGCCCAGATAAAGTACCTGGAAATTGGGGTCCTGACACTTCACCTGGTGTATCAGTTATCTACTGCAGTGAATCAAATTGCCACAAACTTATGGTTTAAAATAAGGCAGCTCGACAAAGTACACTGCTGAGGGGAGCAGCAGAGAGGTCAGGAGGGATCTGCCACGCCATGTGGGTCACCTCTGGGGCAGAGGCTTGAACTCGCACTGGAGTGGCTAGGGCTAGCTTGCAGTGCTGTGTCCGAACCTGTTGCAACACCAGGGAGGGTCCATCTCACAGTTTCTTTGGACAGGGAGTTGAGGCATGAAGTCTTCATGGGGTCATGTGCTCTGGGTAGGGAGCAAAGTTGTGATCCAGGTGTTGCTCAGGAGCAGGTTCTCATCAGAGGCTCAACTGGGGAAGGTTCTGCTTCTGAGCTTGCTTGGGTTGTTGGCAGAATTAATTTCCTCATGGGAGCCAGATTCATGACAACTTGTTTCTTCAAAACAGTAATGGAGTGAGGGACTCTTAGAAGAGCAGCACTACAGTCTTGTAGAATCACCTACAAGTCATCCCAGATTCTCCACCACATTTGCCCATTCCTTTGGTTAGAAACAAGTCACAGGTCCTGCACACACCCAAGGAGAGGAGATTAAACAGAAGTGGAATACCAGGAGGCAGTATCAAGGGCCCTGCATGCCACTCTGGAGCTTTCCATAGCAGCTTGGGAAATCGGAAGAGTGTAAAGTGATTAACGTCTTGGATAGCTACGTCAACCAAGCCAGACAGGACAAGGCAGGGCGCGAACACAGTGTGGCTGAAGTCGCGGCCCATCCTGTGTACCCTAAAGGCTTTGTTTTTGAGGGAAGATTTGATGTTTAGGAAAGAGCAGAAAGGCATCCACAGTATAATATCTTCAGGTGGCTGTTATGAAGGGGACAAGCCACAAGGTTTGTGTTAAATCAGGAAGTGGAGAGTAGGAATTCAAGGGGGAGAACTGAGGTCAGAGTGGACCTGAGGAGGGTGCCAGGAATATCCATTCCATATGACAGAGAAACAGAAAGAAGCAGAAAGAGCCAACACTCTGGCTGTGGGATGCAAGAGGTGTGGACCAAGAACGATGCCTAAGTGAGGAAGCTCAACTAGACACAAGCTCTGCTGAGGAGAACAGGAAGCTATGTGTGTATTTAGCTTTTCTTTCTTGACCAAGAAGAGCTTAAGCCTAGATGTCTTTAGAAGGCCACCAAGGATTACACCACACCACGTCAGCAAGCCTTCCACCTGGTCTGAGGCAGTACCATGGAGTGAGGGGAACACAGGAATGTGTGTGGAGGTCCTCACCTCTAGCCTTCCTTGGGTGGGGCAGAGAATGTACACCCTTCCCTTTCTCTATCTGACAGAGATAGTGAATGTGGACTAGATTTGTTTCTATTGGAGTCTGGACACTGGGGGCTTTCCAGAATAAATCATCCTTAACACTGGGGCTGACTAAGACAGGAGATCTCACCTAAAAAAATGTTAGATTCAAACAAAGTTATTCATATAGTAGATACTTCAAACTCTTTGTCTGACAATATCTTGGGTAAAACTAGTCTCAATAAACTGAAAATGATTGTGGCCACACAGAATATGTTCGCTGACTACAGTGGAATAGATTAGAAATGAGTAACAGCAAGAAATCAAGGAAAACGATGTAATTTGGAAATTAATCATCACACTTTGAAACAAAACACGGTCAGAGAAAAAAACCATCAAGGAAACAAAGTATCTCCAACTGAGTGACAATGACAATGCAACTTCCAAAATTTGTACACTGCATTCAAAGCAGCACATAGAAGAAAGTTTATAGCTTTCAATGTTTTTATTAGAAAAGAGAGGTTTAAAGACACTGATCTTAGGTTTTAACTTAAAAAGCTAGAAAAAAACCAACTAAATCTGTAGAAGGAATGAAATAAAGAGCAGAAGTCAGCAAAACAGAAAAAGAGACTAGCAATAAGAGAAAATTAACCAACTCATTTACATTTTGTGACATTATTCCTCCCCCACTTCCCTCCAGCTCATTGGTTGATAATTCATTTGGAATGGAGAAAGTATGAAATAGTGGTTAACAACTTTTTTGAGTTCTTCATGCTTGCTGTTTAGGAAAGAGTGTAACTTCTTAGGTGACTCTCGGAAGGACAAGTCACACAGGTCTGTCCGGAGCAGAGTAGAATGTATTATTTGTCAGCAGATGGCGCCGCAGGCACCTTGAAACGGAGGACTGGCTGCGTTCTGGGGCGCTGGGGGAACCAACCAATAAGCCGCCGAATTGAAACGAGGGGGTCACCCGAGACAAGAGAGAGAATCCCGGAAAGCAAATACTCAACCTGATAGAAGTTGGAAAAAGTTACCGATTTCACAAAAACAGCTGCAGCCCTGTGGGATCATAGCTAGAAAAACTTGAGTTTTTAAAGCTGGGGGTTCCTTCCTGGAGTACCGAGTGTCAGAGAAATTCCTACCATTGTATGCAAATGTACCCCCTCCAAGGCCCAGCGTTTCACTCAGAGTCTAAAAGTAGAGTGGGATTTAAAACAATTAAGACTGGGGCTACAAAGGCTCCCCTCAGCACCCTTCAGCAGTCGATCACGTGTGAGTCCCAATTGCAAAGGTAGGGGATAAAATGCACTCACGACTTGGAGAGAGATGGGGGAGGCCTGATGCAACTGGTAACGTTTGTAATATTTTCTTCCCGAAGGATTAATGCCATGAAAAGCCCCCTGGGGCAGACAGGACACCAACACATTTTGCAGGCCTACAGTGTGCTCCAAACGAGTTACATTTCGAAAAACAAACGTCCGCATTTAAAGTTTCGCAGCAATCCTTGAGTTGGGTGATCACATCCTTCATATTATCCCCCAACCCCAATCTCTTAAGAGGGCAATTAATAGCGTGCGGTTTTTGTAGTTCCGGACTTAAAGTGGATGCACACACATCTGTTCTTCTCTTTTATAGACGTTTCTTCCACTCGCTTTCCTTTGTTAAACATGAACTTTGTTTTAAAAATAGCATTTCGTTTGTTGCTTTGGTCTGCCTCTGCCCATTCAGAACTGACAGCATGAACACAGACGTAGGGGCAGGAGCCAACACAATTTTAGGCTGGATGTAGAACACAGTGCTGGAACTTCACTTTTCCCTTCTCTGCGGCTCACGAGGTGGTCGGCGGCCGGGGCAGGGTTTGGGCTGGGGAGCGGGGCCTGGGCTCCTGCGGCCGCCTGGGTGCAGGGCTGACCTGCGGCTGCGGGACAGCGAGGCGGGGCTTTGGGGGGGGGGGGTCCCGGCCAGGTCCCACGTGGCCGCTGCCGCCGGGCTCGCCGGGGCCCCGCCCGGAGGCGGCCGCGCGAACTGCAGAGGGAGCAGACTAGAGCGCCGGGCAGCCGGTGAGCGCCCCCCGACCCCTCACCCTCAGCCCCCCAGCCCGGCCTGCTATGGCTGACTCGTAGCGAGTTCGCAGCCGGGCCGCCACGGGCTAGCGGGACCGGGCGGCCACTGCTCCCTCCCTCTCTCGCCTCGGGTCCAGGGCCGCGGAGCCGCTGCAAAGAGGATGAGTCCCTGGAGCTGGTTCCTGCTGCCGACCCTCTGTCTCCTGCGCTCGGGTGCAGCCCCTCGGCGCGGCGCTCTCGCCTCTGCCAGCTGCGACCTCAAGCCCCAAGTAAGGCACGCGTCGGGCGCGGGCGAGGTGTGTTCCGGAGCCCCCCGGGGTGGGCACGGTGCGCTCGGACTCCCAGCCGACTCCCACCTCTCACCGCCGCGCCTCCTGGCACGCGCTTGCCAGTTTGCCCCTGGACCCCCCTTCCCGGGGGATCAGCCCTCAAGCCGCTGGAGACCCTGTCCCCCAGCGCTCGCTTTTAGTCCATCAAAGAGGTTCGGGCGGGGACCCTTCGTCTCGCCAGTCTGCTTCGCGGGCATTCACTGGATGAAACAGTGAAGACCGAGCGGGGCCCGGACTTGGGTGCATTTACTTTGGACGTGTGTCCTGCCTTTTCGTCTCTAGAATTTAATTTCTCATGCACTTATGGAAATACCAAAAGCGTCCCGCAGATGTCTACTTAACCTCTGTTTATTCAATGCCGGAGTTAAATGGACTTTAGGAAACAAAACCACTGCCCTTGTTTTACCGATCAGGGCAACTGAGGCAGAGAGCGTGACCTTTGTGCTCCAGGTCAGGGAGCCGGTTCTCAGAGTTTACTAACTCTGACAGCCTGGCGTTTATGTTAAGGGAGCATCCCAAGGCTTTTGCAAGAGAGTTTGGAGGGAAGGTGACCCCAAGTGAGGGTGGCGGGAGACCTGCCTGTCACTCCCCAGACCTGTTGGTGCAGAAACGGAGCGGAGATGTCTTCCAGAGTACTACTTTCGAGGTGACTCTTTCCTTCTGGTCAGTTTTCTTTATCAGAATTTTCTGTTGTTTTTAAGTCTCTCACTTTTGAGTGTAGTGGAAGTTTTGTGCCTCTGTACCACTGGGTTCCATCTCTGTGGGTCCTTGGTGCTGGGGAGGGTTATGGAAGTTTGTACTCTGGGTGGCCTGTGAACTCTCTCCCATGGGGTAGTGGGTTCAGGGGTTGGCCCACCACCTTTGGTGAAACCTGCTCAGCATGAACACCATGCCCATCTCTGATTTTTGGTAATTTTATTCACCCTCCAGTCTACAGCAAAGGAGGGGGTAACCTAACAGCCTGCCTGGTCCGGGATCACACTGTGATCCCCAAGACGCCCTGGGCTGTGGATGGGGGATGCTCTCCTAGAAGACAGAAGTCTTGTCTTGGGGACAGGGAGGCCCAGGAGGGCCATCATCACCTGGGGTAATTTAAAGCCTGGCTGTGGTGCAGTGGCCTTGTACTTCCTCTGACAAGTAGCAGCCATCAATTCATGTGAGAGCAGAATGTCTCACTGTAGCAAAAATATATTAACAACTTGCAATTATATTGTGATGGGGCAGTCTTGGTAGTTTTCTCTCATTCCTTCAATTTGTTCTCAGGGGTCTTTTATTCTAACAGGACTCAAACTTCTGGGTCTCTGAACATCTTGGCATTCTAAAACAGCATTTTGGACTCCGGAGAACTTTTGCTTAGGTGCATTATGGCAAGTATGGGTGAAACACAAAAATACACATGTATATATGATGCTGTTAATTGTCAGAGTGCTTTTATTACATGCCTGTAGCCTCTAAAGAATTCAACTTGTGTATTTTTGAGAGAGTAAGTATGGAGGAGAAACATCTTAGTATTATTATTTTAGACTTTAAAATTTTATTTATGCATACAGATCTGGCCAGAGGAACAGGGGTGGTGAGAAGATTCACCAGAGACAGAGTGGGGAGCAGAACAGGCAGATTGATGAAGTGCACTGCTGAGGGGAGCAGTGGATGAGACAGGAGAGGTCTGCTGCACCTTATGGATCATCTCTGGGGCAGGGATCGAACTTGCACTGAAGTGGCTGTGGCCAGTTTGCAGTGCTGCACTTTAACCTGCCTGCACCAGCAGTGAGGGCCCATTATTTTGCTATTATTATGAAAATAGCTTTGGCTTTACAGACTCCTTCGTAGGGTCTTGGAGACATCTACAGGTCCCTGGGCCACACTTTAAGTTACTGTTCTTAGCTGTGGAACAGTCTCCTCCTCTGCCAAGGTCAAAAGGTGGGTCAGAAGGTCTGTCAATGGCAGGGCTGTGTGCCCTGGAGGTCACTGTTCTGAGTATCTCCAGGTTTGGGGTCCTGACACTGTACAGTGAAGCTCTGGACCCAGCCTCCGCCTGCTGCAGCGGCTTCTACAGCATCCTGGAATCACTGTGACTTGAGAGCTGGCTTGGATTTCCACTTTTGTTAATCATTAGCGGTCTTCTTGGCAGAACTCTTGTCTCTAGACACAGCAAGCTTTACCCCAGCGCCGCACAGATGGAATCTCTTCCTTATCAATACTCAAACAGAACGCTTGCGTGCTCTTTGCTATTCCTGCTTGAGCTCTTTTACACTTGCTATTTCTTCCCCCAGACACCCATATGCTCGCTCCTTACTTCCATCTGGTTTTTGCTCAAGTGTCTCAACGAGACCCCTTCTGATTATCCTATTAAACATTGTGTCAAGCCCCTCCATCTGCCTTCCCTGCTTTATTTTTTCTCTGTAGCTCTTAACTACCATCTGATGAAAAGTTTTGGTTCTTGCTGCCCCTACCCCTGTGCTCATCTGTTTGTTTTGTTTGCTTCTGTCTCTCCAGGGTCCAGGAGAGTACCTGGCTGCAGAGATGTGCAATGAAAGGCTAACTCAAGTCAGTTCACTTTAGGGTCCTGGCTGAGCTCGGAAGAGCACAGCTGGACAGGTGCAGCGTCCCAGGCCCTGGGATATCAGGGAGCAGAGTGGGGCAAAGGCTTAGGGACTCAGCCTGCATTACACGGGTTGTCTTTTATGCTCCCTTGTTTCATGGCAAGGATCTCACACACACACACACACACACACACACACACACACACACACACACACACACACACACACACGTTACAACCTGGTCATCCAGGTGACAAAAATCGTCCTTTCCTTCTCAGAATGACTGCAGTGAGAATTGGAGAGACCTGCCAATCATGTTGTTTTATCTTTTAAATCAGCACCATGTTAAAATACATGGTTTCTTCTAGTAGCATGTGGCGATTATGGTTATAGTGACATTGGGTAATAGAGCATGGGGTGTACCCTACCCCTGAAGGTGTCAATATGAGTGAGGCAGGGGTGGTTGCATCTGTGTGACTGGTGACCAGGAAGGGGGGTGGTGGGAGGGCTTTCCAGGGGCACCCCCTCAGGAAACCTTAATTAGAAGCTCTGACAACTCCTTTTGTGACTTGTACCTTCTCTCCCCAAGGAGTGGCCTGTAGGGCTATCCAACTGCACCTGTCCAGCTGTGCTCTTCCGAGCTCAGCCAGGACCCTAAAGTGAACTGACTTGAGTGTTGCAGTAGGGTGTACAGACTGCTCTCCATTTATTGAAGGAGCTTGACAAGATGAGGATCATTTCTTTAAAAACACTTAATAGTCCTGGCTTAAAACAAGTGGACACCCCCCGCCCTCATTGTGTTGAAAAGGGAGAGTGGGGAAAAGGTGGCAGCGTGAGAATGTAAAGATGTCAGTGTGGGTTTACTGGGCAGGTCACGGCGGCTTGGGAAGTGGGGGCTGGACAGAGTCTTGCCTGCTGTTTCACTTTTCCGCAGCAATTATCATTAATGTACCCGAGGCCGGGATTGTGTTTCATTCGCTTCTATATTCCCATGCCTTGGAATACACTAGTGCCCGGAGCCTAGAGCAGTGCCTGACACCATGTTGGCACAGCACAAGTAACCATGGAATAGTGAATGTGCAACACAGGGGCGGTGGGCCACCCTCAAGCAGTGAGTGGATGGGCCTGGCTGCAAGGACCCTCACTATCAGCCGGTTACTCTTGTGTCATTATTGCTGTAACAAATCTGTTTCATAGCCTCTAAGCAGTTGCCATTGAAAAGATCAGATAATGACCCCAATTTCTAGACTGATATCAGATGAAAAAGCAACATCTAAATAAGATAAAAATGGACACGTACGGTTGAACAGATTGTCTCTGAAGAAGCAAAGGCATTTGAGGTGGGATGGGTGGATTCAGTGTACTGAATAAAAACAAACCAAGAGCACACTAAAACAAGCAATGCCCCCCACCTCTCCTGCCCACCTCCATGAGCCTGCAATATGGGTTTGGTTTTCCTGGGACTATATTGGTTTAATATCATGGTCTTCTGATAGAAGATGATGAATTAGGTGCCCTCAGGTATAATAGGAACTTTTCAGCTCTTTGCCACATCTCCTAGTTAGAAATAGTCCTTTGGTAGACTGCACGAAACGTGCATCCAGATGGCTTGGCCAGGTTAGTGGGGCCCAGTTATAACTGTCACTAATCAGGGCCCCCCTTTGATCATCAACTCTTCCCTCAAAGAACCAAACCTACCTATGGTAGGTTGGAAGATAACCTCTAGCCACCCTGTGGCATTTACAGGTAATTATTATTATTATTATTATTATTTTTAAAGATTTATTTAT